AGGGCTGCAATTGGAATGGAGTTCTAGGTAGGGAGGTGACAGCCTTGTTCTGGGACTGGGGTGGCTCCGTGCTGCTGGTGAATGTGGTGTAAGGGGTTTGGGTCGGGGAGGCCAGCAGGTGGGCTGTGGGATGGCAAGGACATATCAGAGGTTGGGCTTCCTCCAGAGGGCAGCATGGGCTCCTGGTGCCACAGAATTCTCCCAGGAACGGAGTAAGCCGAGTAGGCAAGGCCCAGGGCTGCAATGGGTATGGGGGAGAAGCACTGGAGCATGAATTTCATGCACCTTGCATCCTGGCTGCTGAAAGCAGGAGCTGCCACATATAATGGAGGCCACTGTGGCTTCTCGTGGTTAGAGAGGGCACAAGTGTCTCCAAGTGGCCTTGTGACCTCCTGGAGCCAAAGCCTCCTCCCCATGCTTGCCAAAGGCCACAGTGGGCCAGGATAAGCAGGAGTCACACAGGGTTCTGTCAGAGCCACCCCAAACTTCACACGTACCCCTGTCCCCAACCCCCTCCAGAAAAGGAGGAGGAAGGCAGAAAAGAAAGGACTGACCCATGACTATGACTTTAGGTAGGGCCTTCCTCGCTGGGCCCAGCTGGCAGCCTTGTCCTCCGGAGGCCTCCCTGTCTGCTCCCTCGCACTCCTGTCCCAGGTCCACTCCTGTCCCTGTGTTTCCACTTCTGTCCTGCCAAGGCATGTGGTCCATTGGGCAGGGGTTGTGTCCTCTTGAGGCCACCATAGCTTGGGGTTGGCACAGTGTCTGCACCCTGTCAACACTCCCCAATATTGGCCAAATGAGTGACCTTCACCTCTAAGCCTCAGTTTTCTCGTCTGTTAAACAGGGTTAATCCAGAGCTGCTGTGTCTATGTAGGAAAGGCAGAATCCTTCACAGGTTGCTGCCCTGGGGCAGTGGGTGGGGGGTGGGGAGGAGCAGGAGGAGAAGTAGGAGGAGGAGGAGGAGCAAGAAGAAGAGCCGAGGAGGAGGAGGAGGAGGAGGAGGAGGAGCTGAAGGAGGGGGAATGGAGGAGGATCCTTGTTGCTCTGCCTTTCTGTCTGGCACAGCTCCCCACCAAGTTCTGCCCAGGGCCTTGCTGCCACCTAGGCCTAATTGCCAGTCTTTGCATAATCAGCAGCCAAGGTCACCAATGGATCCGGTTCAGCCTCTCCTACAATGAGGACTCGGCATAGAATTGATTCGGCTCCACGCTGCCCGCTCTGATCCATGGCACAGCCCCCCCTCCACCACACACACACACACACACACACACACGACTGTTTGCTGTGGGACTCGCACCCCTGTTCTGCTCACAGCCTGCTCTGCCTGGTGTCTCCCACCATGCGGGGTCACCCGGTTCAGATGTGCCTCTAATTGGCTCCACTGCTTGGGGAATCCTCCCCCTCCATGTCCCCATTCCCTCCACCTGAGCTCTCCAGGCAGGAGGAAACTCCTTCCCTCACTCTGAGAGCTTCAAAGGAGCTTGGCAGGCGATCAGCTCAGGGAGAGATGAAACGCTCCCAGAGGCTCCCCAGCCAGGATGGGGCGGTGGTCCCCAGTCCGGACCTGGTGCTGGGGAGGCCTGGCAGCATGACTGCAGAGTCCTGTAGACACAACGTGGCTGCTTCCTGCAGGGGCTGCAGCTGTGGCCAGCCCCCCTTGTCTCAGGGGACAGGGGACCTGTTGTGACACTAGTAGGCCATAGTCAGTGTCCCCACACTGCTGCCCAGCCCCCACACTGCCCTGGGGAGTGAGGCTCAGAGCCCACCCACATTTGTAATGATCAAGGTGACCGAACCCTCACTTTCCTGGGCTCGCCTGCGTGGAGGACTTTGGATTTTTCAGACTTTTGACGTCGTGGGATAATGCACGTGAACCGCTCAGCCTGGCGCCCAGGCGGCTCAGCGCTTGATAAATGGCAACTGTGAGCGGTGTTTTGCCAGGAGTTGGAAGGCGCCGGCTGCCAAGCCTGGGAAAAATGGCGGGACGCCAGGCCTGGGGGTACCATTTCCAGTCAAAAACAAGGAAGCTGGTTCTGAAGGGGAGGGTGGTGACGCTGGGTAGACCTACTGTGCACTGTCCCTTTGCGTGTTTATTTTGGTGTCTTTGCTGCCACGCTGATGGGGATGAGGGGTAACTCACAGAGAAGTAAACTTAGGTTCAGGAAGGCTCCAGACTGCTCCAAGGTCACGTGGCCCCAGGAATCGGGCAGGGCCAACCCAGGGGCTGCCTTAGTCCACATACCCAAGTCCGTTCTTTCTTTCTTTCTTTTCTTTTTTTGGAGGGGGCAGTATGGGGTTTTGAACTCAGGGCCTTTCACTTGCTAGAAAGGCACTCTACCACCACTTGAGCCATGTCCCCAACCCCTTTTTGCTTTAGCTGTTTTTCAGATAGGATCTTACGGTTTTTCACCCAGGCTAGACTGGATGGAGATCCTCCTACTTATGCCTCTTCAGTAGCTGGGATTACAGGTGCTTGCCACTGCACCTGGTCCAAATTCTTTGTTTCTTAAGAGCAAGAATTGACCTCTTCTATGGCTTTTCTGCCTCCCCTCCCAGAAGCACCTGCTCATCAGGCCTGGGAGGCCAGTGGACATCACAGCCATGCAGCGTACATAGCCTGGCCTATGACTGTGTCTGCAGCAGCCCCCAAAGTCTAGGAAAATCATGGATGCCACCTTCCGGAAACTTCCTAAGGTGAAAAGACCACCCTGCTATAGTCTCATTGGGAGGGGAACCCACCCACCCCATCCCCGGGGTCTCAATGCCTCTGACCACCCGGCCAGGCCCTGTTCCCCATTACTCAGTCCCAGCAGAGGGGCTCCTGCTGGCTCTGGGCCCTTAGCGGCAAGAGCTAAGTGACCCTTACCGAACGTTATACACCAGCACTTTTATTCTTCATGCAAACCTTGGGGGCAGGGGCTAGCAGAACCCGATTTACAGATAAGGAAACTGAGGCCCGGGGAGCAGCAGAGCATGCCAGGTGGGAGCAGCTGTGCTCTGTGGCTGGCGGCTTGTGTGCGTGTTTCTCCTGGGACACAAGTTTCTCCCTGGACTGAGTTTCTGAGGGCCAGTCATCTGTGCAGACTGCAACATAGGATGCCCAGCGCATTGCTTAGTTTGCAGGGGAGAAGCTGAGAGTTCAGGGCTTCTCTGCCTGTTGGCCAGAGTCTGGATAAGACTCAGTCCTGGGTGCCAGCTCATGGTGATTCCTAGGATGGAGAGCCAGGTGGGCTCACAGGCCTGGAGGCTCAAAGTCCACCCTACCGGACTCTAGGGCTCCCCCTGGCTGCCCTTGGCCTTTCCGTTTGTGTGGTGATCCCCCTCCTCTAGCCTTTCCAGCCCTGGAGCACCAGACTCACAGAGGTCACCCACCTCTCCCTTCTGTCTGCACAGTGGGGGCTGAAATGCTGCTGTGGGGCTTAGAGGAGGGACTGTGATCATCTTCTGAGGTGCTGGCCTGGTGCTGTAGTGACCGCAGAGCTCCCTCAGGTGCTCAGGGTGCTGGTATTGTGCTCTTGGCACTGTGGCAAACCTAGAGTAGTTCAGACAGGGCCGGTCTGGCACTGGACTTCAGCAGATCCAGGCTGAGAAAGCTGGGGGGACTGTCCATGACCCTTAGGCCTTGGCTGACACTCATGGGACAGTCAGCCACCCTATGCAGGCGTGTCTTCCTTTGAAACCACCCTGCGCCATCTGCAGGTCCATGTGTCCCAGCTCTCCCTTGGCAGAATTCCCCTCAGCCGCACTTCCAAGACGCACCATGGCGGGCGGCTGGCTTTTGAGAATCTGCACCAAGAAAACATGCTGTCTGTCTTCCTACTTGTGGCACCAGCCCAAGAGGCCTCAGTGACAGCCAGTGTTGCTACATCAGTCGCTTTCCAGCCGGAAGCCAAGAGAGATGCCCAGCTGCGGCCGCTGTACATTGTTAGCCTCAAAGTCAATCGATAATTACTTTGTTTTTGACCTTTGCTTCCCCATTTCTTTTGCCTAAGTGGGAATTCAAGGGGCAGAAGGAGGGGGCATGGATGCTCCGGTCCTTTGCTTGGTGTCTTCCTAGCCAGCTGATCCTTGCTCTGTAATTAAAGGCCTCTCCACTCAGCCACATCTAGACAGCGTCACTGAAGTCCAGCTGTTTTCCAGATATCTGAAGCCACAGCTGCAGTTTGCCTTGGGCCTCAGAGCCAGACAAAACATACTGCCACGCCTGGGACCCTGCCAGTGTGATGATCGGGGAGCCGCTCGTGGCACTTGGAATGTGTCAGGCCGTGTCGTGTTTTGGTGGGCTCGAGGGTGAGCACAGGGTGCCGGCCTGCTCCGTTCCTCGGTGTTTGAGCCAGTGAAGGAAGGCAGCCCTCAGCAGAGGCCAGCAACCTTAATAGCATTTCTCAAACTATGGGTCATGAGCCATTGGCAGGTGGCAATATCGATTTAATGGGTTGCAATTGACATTTTTTAAATAGTGTGGAACAGAACAGAACACGATAGAAAACAGTGGGGTGCATCCTCCTTATTCCAGGAAGTCTTCATTTCAGACACGAGCAAGTGTGAGTCTGGGGGTGTGTGTGTGAGTGAGTGTGTCCTCAAATTGTACTTCTCTGGGTCGTTTCTCCAAAAAGCCACATCGTGCGTGCGCTTTGGCCCCTCCAGGAGTGGGTCTCCATTCATTACTGCTCTAGTTGAACTTTGGCAAACCGTTGCTGTGGTTTCTAACCTACTGTTGATTCTGGCCCTCTCAACAGAGAACGTTGGCCTTTCTCGATCTCACTGGAGACAAAAAGCAAGAGGCCTAGCTGACACCCAGGGGTGGGCTCACCTCAGGTGATCAGCACCCAGATGGAGGCCAGGGGGTGGTGGGGTCATGCCTATGACTGGCACCAGCCAGTAGGGCAATGGGAAAGGAGCTGAGGACTGTGTGCTGGAGGTCAGCTCTTGGTACAAGGGGCGCTGGCAAGGAGGTGTGCCCCAGCCAGCGGCAAACAGTGGCATATGTGAGAGCGGACATGGCAGGACGTCAGCCTTCCTGCACCAACACCAAGGGAAGGTCCGGCCTGTCCTTGGTGAGTGTGCATGGCCTGCCCACTGTAAGAGGGAGGACCATGGAACCCCACCCCAGAGTTGGGGAGGGATTTGGCGAACAGCATGTGCACTTAGAAAGACCCAACTGCTGGATGGCTCCCAGCGCCAACTGCACTTGACTGCTCTGCCTGTCGTCCCTTCAGCTGACAGCTCCCAACCTGGAGCCCTCCACCTGTGCACTTTAGAGCCAGGGCAGGGCAGGGGTTGGGGCAAGTTCCCTGAGTGACTGTTGGACAGAGGCAGGAAGCAGATCCGGGGGAGCCTTCTGGAGGCTCAGGTTTGGTTGTGTGCCACAAAGCTGCCCATTCCCTCTGGACACAGCTGGGCACATGTGCAGTGAGTCCAACCTGCATGGCTGCCTTGAGGGGCGCTGGGAGGTGTTCTCTTCCCACCCCTAGTCTTACTTCCCTGCATCTCCCTCTTCCCCCACGCTGGGCTTCTCTGCCAAGTTTGGCCTTTCCAGTTTCTTGGGTTCATGAACTGCTGTGCCTGGAAGCTTGGCTCCCCACCTTCTACTTCACAGTCACCTCACGGGAGAGCAATGGTGATGACAGGAGGGTGGTGGGGATAATCCTGTTTAACCCTTGCAGAGGTCCTAGGAGGAAGGACTGAGCTGGCCACACTGCAGCCAATCTAGGGCCTAGGACCTGACCTTCTTCCAGAGCCACCTAGAGTCCTTCGCCCCTGGGCAGATCCAATTTCCCTACCCCAGATCTGTGCCACTTCCTGTGTGAGTCCCTTAAACACAAGGGCTTCTGCCCTGTATTCTTCTGCCCCAAGGTCCCTTGTGTCCCCTGACTCAGTTTCCCCAGCAGCACCTGGTACATTCGAAGGAACATTTGCAAGCATGGAAGAGGCGGTGCAGGCCCCCAGGAAGGCTGGGGAGATATGTAGGGCTGAGGTCTGGAAGGAAGAGTAGGGTGTAACCCAGGCAGGGTCCGGGGGCGGGGAGAGGAGGATGGAGACCCATGGCGAGGCCTGCATTTATTGACCTACTATAAGCCAGGCCTGAGCTCAGTGGATGTGAGGCTACGAGGTACATCCTGTTATGATCTTCCCTTTGCTTTTGAGGAAACTGAGGCTTGGAGGGTCGCCGATATCTGCAGAGCCAGAGTTCCATAACCCAGATCTGAAGTCACTTGGTCCCCCCACCTACCAGGGCGCTTCCTTTGTGCTGGGTGCACCTAAGGCCCGGGTCCCCAGGGCCTCCCGGGGGCTTCTGGCTGCAGCCCCTCCAGCTCTTCTTTGTAAAAACAGGCTCAGCTTCCCAATGCCCTCTGGGATCGCCTGACTTCTGCCAGGATTAGTCCTTTCAAAGGGCACGTGCTTAGGGTCCCAATCTGCACAGTCAATACAGTTCTCCAGTGGTGCTCAGATCTCACCGAGTCTTATCGAATTTCCTCCCACCTAGCTGGTCCTTCCTGAGGACTTTGAAATTTCAGGGCTGGACCAGGTTCGGGGCAGCAGAGCAAGAAAAAAGAAGTGTCATCTTCCCCCAGCTCTGTGACGTCAGAGCTGCCCAAACGCCCGTGACTGATGCATCGCTAGGGACACAGTGAATCCAGCAAGCTAAAGCTCACAGAGCAGACACCGCTGGTCAGCTTGGGCACCAGGCAGTTCCGAGTGACTGAAATCAGGCTGCTTAGTAATGGAACCGGTAGCTCGCACTCCGTAGCCAAATCTCGAACACATCAGACGCCAACACAGATGGAGGCAGGTGGGCGGCGAGGGGGAGCTGCCTCTGCAAATGAGCAGGAAAAGGCTTGTTAAACAGAAAGGCAGTGGGAAGGAGGGGGCCGGGAACCGGGACTGTCAGCGATCTTGTAAATACTCAGCCAGCTCCGGCCTGGACCAGCGCGGTCCTTATTTCAAAGCAATTTAGCCGATGGGATTCCAAGACTCCCAAATCAAGAATGTTATTAAAATGAAGAACAAAGGCAGCTTGGCGACTCATTGGTACCCAAGTCACACTGTAGTCCGGCTGTGGGCTCCTCGTCCTCCCCCAAGAAATAGCCTAGACTTGGGGTTCCCAATCCCCAACCGATTCTGACCAAAGGCTCTTTTATACCTGTGGAGGGGAGCTATTTGAGAGACAGGGCTCTGGAGGCCAAGCCTAATGGGAGGGGCTGTTTAAAACCTGGAGAATGGGCTGGGCGCTGGTGGTCCATGCGTGTAATCCTAGTTATTTAGAGGGCAGAGATCAGGAGGATCGAGGTTCAAAGCCAGCCCAGGCAAATAGTTCACAAGCCCCTATCCCAAAAAAAAAAACCCTTCACAAAAATAATGGGCCAGTGGAGTGGCTTGAGGTGTAGGCCCTGAGTTCAAGCCCCAGTACCAAAATAAAACAAAAACCTAGAGAATGGGAGCAAGCTTCCAGCTCAGTGATAGAGTGCTTACCTAGCATACACAAGGTCCTGGGTTCAAGCCCCAGCACCACACACACAAGTCCCATGAGCACGGATTCTGTTTTGTTTTTTTTTTCCACTTAGATGGTCCTGGGTCTCAAACTCTGGACCTCCAGAGCACTAAGCTGGCACCCCGTCAGCTGAGCACAGGTTCTTATTTTGGCTTCATTTTGCCCCTTACTCAAGCTCTTAACCAGTAGGGAAACTGAGGCTGAGAGCAAGGAAGGGTCTTGCCCAGTATCCCACAGGGAGGCAACAGAGTAGGCCTAGAAGCTGGACTTCCTGCAGTCCATAGCGGTCCCCTCTTGCTGGGACATTCCAGGACCTGTGGCTGCTCAGTCAGTCCTGCCTCTGGCTACCACGGAGCTCCTGCGCCCCTGCTCTGTTTCAGGCCTTGTGGCCGGAGATGTTAGAGAAGTGTGTGGCCTAGGCCCAGCTGTCACGAGTGGGCTGATCAGAAGCAGGTGGGCATCTGGGACTCGGGTTCTCTGATGATTGGTGCTAATGTTCCATCCTCTTCCCCACAGGTGTTTCAGCGCCGGGAAGATGGCTCCGTAAACTTCTTCCGGGGCTGGGAGGCCTACCGGGAGGGCTTCGGCAAGCTCACCGGGGAGCACTGGCTAGGTGAGAGCCCCACTCACCCACCTGGCCATCTGCTTGGGGGCTCCGTCCCTCAGCCTTTCAGACACTGCCTGCTCCCTGCGCCTCCCTGCACGGATTGATCCTGGTTCCCCCAGCCTCCTCCATATACCTGGGGCCACTCACAGGTGCCTCTTGGGAAAGTGACCAGGCATTCCACGTGAATGAGGCTCCCAAGAAGGAAGCAAGAGGAGGGGTGTTAGCTGGAGTGGGCTCTGTGGACCTGTGATGATGAGCAAAAACAGGAGAGCCGGGCATGGTGGCATCCCCCTGTAATCCCAGCACTAGGGAGGTGGAATTATGTATAGGTTGTGCTACATAGGAGTCCCTCTCACAAAAATGAAACCAAAAACAAAGCAAGCAAAAAACTGAAGGGAGAAGGAAGGTGAGGACGCCCTGCAAACTGGGTAGGAAGGAGCTGTTGCAGTGACCAGAGGTCATAAGCACTAGGTCTTGTCCTGTCAGGGACACCTGAGCACTGGTCCCTGTCCTGGATCACTCAAGCCGTGGCAGGTGCAGGGCAGCATCTCAGGCCCCAGGAGGACCACAGATGACCTGGGAATTGCTGTCCCCTTGAGGTTAGCAATGCCCAATAGCCGTGCCTGGGATGCCCAAGGAGCGTCCAGCTGGTGCTGTCAGCTGATGGCATGCCTCACGTCCTCCCACATTTGGGACGTGGTCTGCCTGACGGATTCTGTTCATGTTATTTACTTAGTATCATTTACCTTTAATCTCACCCCGTATTTAAAATTTTTGGATATCATTTAATTTCATTCTAAATAGAACATTCTCAAAGCCCACAAGTTTGAGGTCCTTCGTGTCCTCAGGCAGAAGTGGCTTGAGGTGACAGTTTGCTTTGATTTGGTTTTGTCAAAATGTAATTCCTCCTTAAAGTGAGCAGTTCGGTGGTTTTAGCACATTCACTGAGAACATCACCACCAGTTCCAGAACATTTTGTTCACCCCCAAAAAGAAACCCTAACCCCATTAGCGGTCAGTGTCATTTATATTTTTAATGATAAAATAAAACACATCACATACGTCTCCGAAGTGTCCTCTGGGTGCCTCACACACATGCCTTCGCCTCCCAGGCGAGGATATCTGAGAACTGGGAGCTGGAGTGAGGTGAGCCTGTGTGGCGGTGAGCCTCCTCCTGGAGGCTGAGGTCCGGGCCCAAAAGGACTTTCAGTGAGATTAAAAGGGAGGGTAGTGGTCAGGCCCCAAAGGTGGGTGGGGGTGGGGGAGCAGTGAGGCACAGAGTCACCCGTGCGTCAACCTGGGCTGCCAGTGAGGTCCATGTCCCCTGACCCGAGGTCCAGAGGGGCAGGGCCACAGCCCAAGAGCACACTGTGCCCAGCTAAGTGTCTTACAGGCTCAGTCCGGAAACCTCACCCCAGCTAGGAGGTAGCCCTGCTGTCGTCTTCCCCTTCTACAGATGAGGAAACTGACGCTCACTTGTCACAGTGTGTGTTGGGGCCAGAGAGCCCTGGCAGGGGCAGGGTTCATGCACTGGAGCCCAGCCACACTTGGAACCATACCCTGGACAGAGTGGTGACAGCAGGGATGCCAGGAGACCCCCCACCCCCTGGCCACCCAGGTGCTGTGCAAAGCAGAAGTCAGCGAGGTGGGGCTCTGTCACTCTGTCACCCCCACCCCTGTGAAGCCGCGTTGGCGCCTCGGCTGCTGCTTGGTGGCATCTTAATTGAAATCTATCAGCAGCCGCAGAAGGTGTGGGAGGAGGCGGGTAAGCGAGGCCTTGATTAGCTCTGCAGAGCCTGACAAGAATGTCAACTCTGTGGGCCCTCAGCCTCCCCGCGGTGTCCCCTCCCTGCTCCTCCCCACTCCTGCTCACCTCTCAATGAGTGCTTTGTCTTTTCCTATTGAGTAATGGGAGCTCTTTATATATTAAGGTTATTGATCCTTTGTCAGATACACATGATACATATTTACTCCTAGGCACTTACCTTTCAGCTTTTTCTTTCTTATTGCTCATTTCTTGAAGTTTTAAATTTTTGTGCAGTCAATTCTACCAGTTCTTTCCTGAACATCTTCTGCATTTTGCCTTCTCCCTGCTCAGTTTTATAAACATCTCCTATTTTTTTCTTATGCTTTTTGATGTTTTTTTTTTTAGGTTCAGATCTTTAAGCCACGTGGAAGTTCACTGGGGTGACCGTGTGAGACTTGGGGGATCCAAGAGTTTTCCTCTCTGTCCTCTTCTCCCCTGTTCTCTGGGACTTGAACTCGGTGGTGGGGGAGGGAATGTGGCTGCATCTTGGCTTCCATGAGGGGTCCCGGACCTCAGGAGGAACAGGTTACAGTCACATGACTGGCAGTGACCCTGGAAGGTCAGCGAGGGCTGGAGCAGTCGGAGATGGAGGGAGGCCAAGGAAGGCAAGGGGTGGCATCAGCTGGAGAACACAGGGACAGCAGGGTGAGCCGAGAAGGAGAGAGAGGCCAGAGGCCCCACCCCATCAGACACCAGCCCAGCAGCCCCTCTGGCACCAGGAAGGCGCCTCAGAGCCCAGCATTGCTTAAGCCAGAGCAGTGACACTCTGATGGCGGGTGTTTAGGAGGCAGTGACCAGGGAAGGGTGGGCATCCCTGGCTGTCTCCCTCGTAGCCCAGTCCTGATTGACATGATTTGCAAGATGTCTAGGTTCAAACCTCACCTCTGCCCCTCAGCAGCTGCAGGACCTGGCCTCACATTCCTCACCTATGTGACATGGGAACTAAAGCACCTGCCTCAGTGGGCCCTTCAGCAGCAGCAGTCACTATCTGGGCAGTGGGCGGCCAGGGCCAGCAGGCACTGTGAAGAGCTGGGCCCCGGTTCCATGATGAAAGCACTTATTCTGACACCCTCTGATTCATTACTGTGTGTGGTGCCCAGTCGGAATGGTGCCTGGCCTCAGAAAGTAGCTTCCAGGTGGGGGTTGGTGTCATTGTCACCTGCAGTCTGCCCTTCCATCTTTGAGCCCTCCTGGCCACCCCATCAGCCCCCAGCACCTACTCCATAAGTGGGTAAGTCAGGCTCAGAGAGAGAGAGAAAGAGAGCACAACTGGCCCCGAGACTCCAGCCTTAGGGGAGGGTGTGAGGCGGGGGTCTTGGGGAAGACCCTCCCCTGTCAGAGCTGTGTCCTCACATTGGAGGGATGGAATGTGGGAGAGGCTGTGTGAGGCTTCCTGTGAAGAGTAAGGGGCCCTTACTCTTCTCCCGGCCCCTCCTGTCCCGGCTGGGGGAGGGGGTCCGAGGTCTCACGCAGGAGGAGAAAGGCTGGTCCGCCAGGGGCTGGTGGGGGGAGGCAGACGGGGGGGTGGGGCTGATGGAAGCCTTGTGCTGCTGCTGACTTGTGAGGCGTTTAATTAGATGCTCTCTTAATCTAGAGGTGACCACGCCAGCAGGGAAGGGAAGTGTCTTGAGTGTGTGACAGAGGGGAGGGACAGAAGCCAGTAGGAAAGGGGGTGGTGTGGTGGAGCAGAGCACAGCCAGGTCTTGGGGACAGCGGGAGACATGGGTACCACCTTTCACCTCCCATCCACTAAGCATTTTTTGGGCATCTGTTATGTGGGGTCAGCAGGGACCAGGGCTTCTGCAGTGGTGGTGGAGGGGACCTATAAGAAAATAGCCAGCACCCAGAGTGACGAACACGGGTGGGGGCTCTGGGTTGTCCAGGAGCTCGGCAGCCCCGATAGGAGGCCAGACAGCCCTTCCCAGGATGAGACCTGAAAATGAACAGAAGGTGACCAGGTCAGAAGTGTCCCAGGCAGAGGGAATGGCTCAGAGGCCAGGTTTAGGAAAGTGTGAGTACCAGATCCCACCTGGGTGAGAGGGAGCACAGGGGGCTATCACCCCCAAACTCCTGGCTCCCATGATCTTTCTACCAGCTTCAGTCCAAGTGAACACTGAAAACCAGACATGAAAAACTCAGTCTCCAGTTTCCTGCCAAATACAGGCCTGCAGGAAGAAGGAAGTAGCCTAGAACTAACAGCACAAACTTGGTGGTCGTTGCCTTGTCAACAAACACAGGAGCTCAGCTCTCGTTTCTCCTTAGTCCTCTCAGGATGGTGAGGAGGCATCCACCTAACCACCTTTCTCTCCCCACCTATAGGGCTCAAGCGGATCCACGCCCTGACCACACAGGGAGCCTACGAGCTGCACGTGGACCTGGAAGATTTTGAGAACGGAACCGCCTACGCCCACTATGGGAGTTTTGGTGTGGGCTTGTTCTCTGTGGACCCCGAGGAGGATGGGTACCCGCTCACTGTGGCTGACTATTCCGGCACAGCAGGTGAGGCTCTGGGTGTTGGAGGACAGGTAGGATGGGCAGCCCGCCCATCCCCCAGCTGGGAGAAGAGAGGAGGTCCTTCCAGCTCAGCCCTTCTGCCCTCTGGGGTCAGGAGCAAGGCCACCTACGGTCACCTCCGCATCCCAGTCCGGCCGTGCGAAGCCGGCAAGGCCTGGATCGTTCGTAGATGAGCAGAGGGGCCCAGAGCCTGGAGCCGGGAGAGTCCTGGGGTTTGGGCTCTGCAGAGCAAAGGCCCTGTGGGTGACAGAGAATGAAGGGAGGGTGTGTGGAGAGCTGGGAGGAGAGGCAGAGGCGGCCTTGCCTCTGGCGGCACCGCGTGTGCGGGTGAGCTGTGCGGCGTGTGGCGTCTGTGCTCATCCCTGGGGTCCCCTGTGACTGCGCGTCCACCCCTTATGTGCGCCCCGCAGGTGACTCCCTTCTGAAGCACAGTGGCATGAAGTTTACCACCAAGGACCGGGACAGCGACCACTCGGAGAACAACTGTGCTGCCTTCTACCGTGGCGCCTGGTGGTACCGCAACTGTCACACGTCTAACCTCAACGGGCAGTACCTGCGTGGCACGCACGCCTCCTACGCTGATGGCATCGAGTGGTCCTCCTGGACCGGCTGGCAGTACTCGCTCAAGTTCGCAGAGATGAAGATCAGGCCGGCCCGAGAGGACCACTAGACACCGGCCCCCCGATCCTCTGACAGCCCCCCATCCATCCCGCATCTCTCACCCCGACCCCCAAAGCCCACTGCCGCGGGAACGTTCTCTGCCCTCCTGTGCATGGCTGACCCATTTTTGACAGGGGGCAGCCCCGGTCCTCAGCCCCCTGGGCGAGGGAGGTCACACAGCCCCTTCTCAATCTCACGGTTCCCAGCCCACCCGCTCCCATTTGGCAGCTAACATTACCTCCTGCTTCTGCTCATGGGGGCTGGAACACTCGATCCTGAACTGTCCCTGCTCAGACTTTGGCTCCCGTGCTGTCTCTGCCCCCTTCTGGCAGGGATGGTGGAGCGTGCTATGTACCCTGGCTGTGGGCAGTGCCACCAGGCAGCACTTTCTTTGCCTGCCCAGACACCTGGCAGCGTGAAGACAGAGAGGAAGGGGCACACAGCACCTCAGGGGCCCTCCCCACAGATCAGAGGGGACGGCTTGGGCTTTCTGAGGCCTGCCTCCTCTAGCCCTGCCAGTGCAAACCCCTTACTCCCTTTCCTCGATGCCTGGAGACCCCACTTCTCCCCCAGAGACCCTTGGCGGGGCTGGTGCTGAGAACTGTGGCTGTGGGCTGGGTGACCGAGGCACACCACACCCCACAGTCAGGGCGAGGCACAGCTGCATGGAGGGACTCACGCCCCAAGGCTGAGACCAGCTCCCCAGAGGCCACTCACCCTGTGCCCTTCAGGCCCGGGAGGCCTTCATATCCTTGACTGCTGTGCCCAGCTGCTCTGTCCAACGCAAATGGGTCCCACCCAGCCCCTGCCCAGCCTCCTGCCTGGGCAGCCGGGGCTCTAGCCCTGTTTCTCCTGCCTCCGCTGGGTGGGAGGAAGAGCCTGAATTGTGGGCCTGGGCTGGGCCAACCTAGAACCTCTTGGTTTTCTAGACTGGGGCTGAGGCAGGGTTGGGCCAGTGCCCCACCCCACCAACGTTCATGGACTGACTCCAGGATCTCCCGGCCTCCTGGGAGCACAGGCCTGGAGGGTGGAAGCCAAGTAGAGATGGCAGTCCGGCTTACAGAGGCTTATCTGTAAGGGAGGCTGCCCCCTGCTGGCGACTGTGGGCCCAGCATGACTCAACAGGAGGGAGGGCCTTACTGGGCAAGTAGGGGCAGAGGCAATTGAGGCAGAGGGCCAGGCACCTCCTGGGCACCTCCTGGGCACCTCCTCACGGAGCCTTCCCAACACCCACACACTGTTATCCCCTCCCCGGCACAGGTGAGTCCGCAGGCCCCCAGGGGCAGCAGCCAGGAAGGCAGGGCTGGGGCCCCAGCCCTCAATTGTGTGGGTTTGTGGAAGGATCAAGCCCAGGCTGATTTTCCAAGTTCCTACCTGGGAGGACCTGATGAGGGGCCTGTGAGAAGTTGGGGAGGGAGGATGGCAGGGGAGCTGCCCCGGTGGGGACAGCAGCAGGCACCCTCCTCAGGCAGGAGGGATGAACACCTGAAGGCAGGAAAGTGGACGGTGTGAGCTCCATTCTCCTGACCCTCCCGACAGTCTCGTGCCACAAGGCCTGAGGACCCCTGCCTGGCTGTGCAACCCGGGTGGCCTCTCGAGCTCCTCCTGGCCACAGCCTGCAGCCAATGTCTAAGCACACCTATCTGCAAAGCCACCCTGGTGCCAGACAACACCAGGTCACTGCCTGCTTGGCACCCAGCTGGAGGCGAGGTGGCCAACAAACAGGTGGTTCCAGCCCAGTGTGCCCAGGGTGGTGACAGGGTGAGGGGTTATACAGGGAACCCCCTCTGATGTGGCAAGAAAGCTACACAGGACGTGAAGGGAAGGCCCCCTCCATCCCTCTCTGTTCTGCAGAAACCAAGAGAGCTGGAAGGCGGGGTGCCGAGTCCCACTGCAGAAGTGGGTGGGACCTGAGCACTCATCCAGCTAGCCCGCCCCCAATCCCTGCCGGCCCCAGGCTGGAGCAGCTTCTGTTGCTCGCCTTCAGTGCCAGCCGACGTTTAGAAGTGCCGGGTGCCTTCTGATGTGTCATCAAACAAAGTCCCGTGAGTGTGACATTAATGGCTTCGCAGATGTGCATGTGTGGCAGGCGGCACAGGGGCCCCTGGTGCCATCTTGGCTGCTGAATAGACATGGCTGGAACTCGGCCTAGCAGGGGAGGGTGGCCTTCAGGAGCCTGTAGTCCAAGCCCAGACAGCAGGCATCAGTATCCAGTCACACTGGGGACGACAGCCCTTCCAGTGCTCAGGGGATGTGGCCATACTGAGCACTATCGTAATGTGTAGACAGCCTGGGCCAGTGCTTCTGCCCCACCCTTGTAAAGGGTGGCCATGCCTGTACACCTGCTCTTGACCACAGCCTCTGGCCCTGGCCTCAGGAGCCCATGGTCTGATGTCAGTGCAAATGACTGTCACCTGAGATAGGAGTGACTGTGGGAAGCAGGAGCTGCTGAAAGAGCCAGTAGGGGCAGGGCAGACCCCCTGAGACCTGAGCGATGTGACCAGGCTGAGGGACTGGTGTGCACACAGGCAGGCAATAGAACTCAAAGTCACCACGCTTTGCCCCCCTGGGCCCAATTTGGTAGCTTAGTGGAATGCCTGTGACTCCTGTCCTCCAATGTCACTTGACCAAGCTCCCCTACACACACCGTTTCCTGCTTCCCTTGGGGAGAGAGTGAGCTGAGCAGGGGAGGGGTCTACACATCTCTCCACTGGGATGGTGGACCAGTAGACCTCGACTGTTCCCACCCCCCAAGTTGTCCCCACCCTTTCCAAGTCCAGTTCTGTGCACTTGGCCAGGGGCCTCACTCCTGGCCCCTGGAACTATGAATCCACCTGTGAGAATTAAGAATTAACTTACCACCTGCCCCGATTCAAGGACAGAAGGAACCTTGGTTCCCAGTCTGGTGGCCTGGGCACAGAGCTGTGAACAGCGGGCCAATTGAGTTTTCCCAGCAGCTACGTGTAAATAGGGTTTCTAGCGTTTGTCTTTGGGGCAGAAGCCCCTCACCCTCATCAACACCCACCCTTACCTACATAGCCTCCAGCTGACAGGGCTAGGGCTGGGGCTAGGACACTGGGAGTCACAGTCACTGGAGGCCTTGTCACCCAGGAGTGCATCTTGGAGCAGCCAGAGATTAGGAGGTCAGCGAGCCAGCGGCCAGCGAGCAACACCAACCTGAGCTGGGCCCCTCTACTAAAACAAGAGGACTCGGGCCCCAGGGCAGGCCCCTGTGCCTCCATCCATGTCCCCAGGGTGATGACTGTGCCGTAGGTCTCAGGGCTGGGACTGGAGTTCTGGAGAGTTGAGGCTCTTTATTCAGAACCAAAGCCCCTGAGAGCTATTTATTCATAAATCCTATTTGAAGCTTAGTGAAAATGCCCGGATGTGAGCAAGGCCGGGCCATTTACAAATCCCTGCCCTGTGGTTTGGAAACAGAGTGCTGGCAGGGGACTCGTGGAACCCAGGACTGGAGGACAAGACTCAAAGCTTGGAGTCAAGTGACTAGGACTTCCCAGGGCCTTGTCTTCATCTGCTTGCAAAGAAGGTCACCCAAGCTCTGGGGGACCTAGCAGCTTCAGGACTCAGCAAACTAGAACTGGGGGTCCTGCCTCTGTGGGAGGGGAAGAGTGGGGAAGGGATCCAACCTGAGGCTGGTCGTGATTGCTGGACAGGTGTGCCTCACTGGGCCACACCAGCCTGGCTGATGTGAGGGGTCCCAGGGCTGGGGAGGAGCCCTGAGGGCCAGCAGAGCACCCGCGGGTAAATGTGACATGGGACAGTTGCTCGTTGGCTGTGTGATTTGGCCTTGTGTATGTTCCTGTCTCCAATAAAGTCTTGTGATGACCTGGCTCCAGACTCTGCCTCTAACCCTGTTTGGTGTCCCATGTCACAATACAAGTGAGTCAGACACCCAGGCATTCTGGACTGCCTCCTGCTGTACTTCCAAGCAGCTTTGCAACCCCAGGGGTTGCTCAGGCCCTTCAGCAGGGGTAGCTCTGGGCTGTGCAGAGACAGATGGGCCCAGCCTGGTTGGAGGCAGCCATGGCTAGAGAGGTGTAGCTGGCTTCCTGCACAGCTGCACCAGGCAGGGCTGTCCTCCTGGAGGCTGGGCTTCAGGCTGAACTGGGCCACTCTATCTGTGCCTCCTATCCATGTCCCCAGGGTGACAAACATCCCTGCAGGTCTCAGGGCTGGGACTGGAGTTCCGGGGATTTGAGGCTCTTTATTAGGAACTAAAGCCCCTGATAGCTATTTATTCATAAAACCTATTTGAGGCTTAGTAAAAATGCCCCAAGTTATTTAATAAAATCCAGTATATGTCAAGGTCGCACAGGGCTGGTGGGAAGAGCAAGGGATGACAGAACAGGGGAGCAGGTCTCACACCTGCCCCTGTGCAGCACAGGCGTCCCAAGTCAAGGGTCACAGAACACCAATCCCCTCCCCTGCATAGTGTCCTCCCTCCAATAGCTTGGAGTCTTGACAACAGGATTGCTCACACTGGGCTCCAGGGCTGGAGGAGCTGTGATGGGTACACTTGGAGATGTCCACAGAAGTCACAGAGGTGGTCACCACCACTGCTCTGGGTGGGGGTCTTGCCCAACTCTATGGCAGTTTCCTTGGCCACAATTGGCTCTGGCTGCAGCTCCCAGGGCCAGCTGGGGAGAGTTTGCCTACAGCTGACAAGGGTGTGGACAGCCAGGGACAGGGCACAGTCCAGGCTGGCAGTAGTTCTGTAGAGCTCAGCTCTGCTCTGAGCTCTGGGGGAACGGCAGTGCCACAAGACCTGGGTGGCCCATGCCAATAATGAGGGTGCCCGCCCGTGGCCTCCCAGTACTGGCAGCAGTGAACACTTGGCCCTGCCTCCCAGGGGCTCAGTTGAGTCCCCCAGCCCTGCAACTATAAAAAGGGTGCTGCTGTTAGAGAAGTGAGAAAGGAAGTGGTCTGAGCGCCAGGTCGGGATTCGGGTAGCCCAGCCTGGCCGTGTTACTCAAGCCTGACTCACACCACATCCAACTCAACCCAGCCTTCACACCTTAAAAAACAAGGGCAGGTTTCAAAGTACCCAGGTGTCATTTCCCAGGAAAACTCACAGCCTTCCAGAAAGCTGCCCTCGGCTCTCTCCTCAAGGCCACTTCCTGCTTGGCTCTGCCCTGGGCCTGTGTTACCTGGCAGTAGGGAAGCCTGGCAGTAGGAATGCTGCAAGGTTCTGCTGCTTCTTTATGCCCAGCAGACCCAGACCTTGCTTACCAGTTGCAGCTGGGGTCCTCCACCTCAGCTAACAGCCACTGCAGGAAGAGTGGCACAGGTGTTACCCCCAACTGCTCAAGAGCTGGGGACCCCAGATGCCCTAGGAAGCCAGGAAGAGCACCTGAAAGCACTCTTTTGGGTCACTTGTTCTGGAACCCGGTCAGCCCTTGGAGTTGGGAAGTTTGGCATCAAATCCAGTGCCTGAGTGGGGAAGGTGGGGACCTAAGGCAGGATTGAAGTACAGGTAGGCCACCCAGGAGGGCCTTGACACAAGACCCCCACCCAAACCAGCACCCAACACTTGGGGCTTCCTGTGGCACTTCCCAGAGCTGTGAGCCTTAGTCCTGAAGGGGCCCTGGGGGCAGCAGTGCTTCTGCAGCCTTCTTTCCTGGAGCCTAACAGGTCCAAGGGGAGAATTGCTCGTGGGGGCATTGGGGTGGCCTGCAGAGTGGAGACCCACACCTGCCCTCCCCACCCGTGACAGTTGTCTTTGAGGAATTCTGCAAAGTGCAGCTTGGGAAAGAGGCCTGTCACTCTCCACCACAGGGAGCAGTGACAGAGGGCAGGCACCTGGCCCTCAGCCTCACAATGCCAGAGGGACCCATCAGTGATGGTGCTAACTAGGGAAACAGTGACAGCTCCTCCCACCTCATGACATGCATGCATGGTGCACGGACACATGCAAACACACATGTGCACGCAGGCACAGGAATAAGGAACATAAGATCCCTCAGCATGGCGTTAGCCATGGGGACAGAAGCTGGTCTGGCCAGCTGTGGTCAGCAGACCCTCTGCTCCCTCTTTACACACAGCCCTGGGAGGGGGGCGCGATTCTAGCCCCTTCCTCTGGTCTCTGAGAAGGGTCTGAAGGCTTGTCGCTACCCCAAGGACACAGGTGATCGGTCGGCTGGTTAAAGACCTCTGGGAAACCCTCAGTTCTCAGTTCTCCCTTCGTTGAGCAGCTGGTCCTCAGCATGTGAGGTGGCCTCACCTCTCTAAACCCCTGTTCAGCCAGTGAGGGCAAAGCTAGGCCGGGGAGGACAGGAAGCTGGGGTTCCTCATGCCGGTGTCCTCCGGCTCTCCTCAGACAGTGTGGCCACAGGCCAATGCTTCAGCCCTGAGTTGGGCTCCTGCCTCCCCTTGGTGGGTTCCTGGAGAACAGGCAGCTGAGGGCTCCACCTGCCTGGGAAGCGCCCTGGTGTAACTACCGTGGAGCTCCTGGGCCTGGGGCTCACCCAGAGGTGCCCTGCTATTACTCACAGGGCAGCAGAGGAACATCAGACTTGGCACTGAGTAACTACCCTGCAGTGGTCAGCAGCCATATGGGGGCCAGAGCTGATCCTGTGGGGGTCCCTAATGAAAGGCATGGCCCGTGGAGGCCACCCCACAGCCCCCTCCAGCGGCACACTCACTGTGAAATGCAGAGCGGGTGGGAACACCATCGGCTTTGGGCTCACCTGGAGAAACCGCCTGGGAAGAGGCTGGGGAGGGACGAGCACCGCGGCCTCCACGCGGGTGCTGGCACAGGAGAGTGGGAGCGGGCCACAGCACCTGCACCATGCCTGTGACAAGGTGCACACCTGGCAAGAAGCCTGACCTTGGGGTCCCGTGACGGTGGCCGGCGAGGCAGGGGTGATATTCTCAGCAGATGTTCAGAGTGAACGCCCGCAGTCACCCGAGAGGATATCCAGCGGCGCTTGAAAACCATCCACGCGGGTCAGGCACTGGTGTGGCAGCAGGGTGTCATGGTGGGAAGGACAGCATGCCATCTAAAGGACAGACCCTGCCCTGTGGTGCGAGGGCCACGGGCCTGAGAGGCAGCAAGGCTGTCCTCTCCTAAGGCTCCAGAGCAGGGGGGCACGCCCCAGGACACCTCAACTTCCCATTAGCGGGGTGAGCAATACTGGCTTTGTAGGGATCTGTGTCTTTCAACCCCGCGGGGGCCATCCTGTGAGAACAGCCGGGCAGCAGGTATGGACAGTGAGAATCCACCTGCCCCCATGCTCTCCAGAAAGAGAGGCCAACCCAACAAGGGCGGGAGCGAGGATTATGAAGGGTGGGCACTGATGCCTCCGCCTAGGGACTCGAGGGTCTGTGCCCACGACTCACAGCTACTCTCCTCCAAAGGGCAGCGTCCGCCCCTCTCATCAGATCACATCCTGTGTGTGCTGGGTTGTTATCCTGCAGCCTGCACTTCCTCTCCTTCACCACCAGCTTCCCCAAAGGAATCCCAGGACCAGGAATGCGAAGCAATCAGGTTGCGTGGGGGGTCAGGACACCCAGGGGCCTATATAAAGCAGGGAGAAGCCAGGAGCCGAGAGCCACACCTCCTGGGCAAGGACTGGAATAGCTGTGCCCGGCCCAGAGCCGGGCGAGGGATCCACCTGCCCTCCTGGGCAGCAGCATGGTGAGTGTAGCCCTGTGTCCAGCTGGAACTCTGCTGTGGGCTCCAGGTCAGGAGCTGAGCACGAGCAGGCAGAGCACATAGATCCTAGGACAGCACAGGAAGGGCCAGAATCAGGGGTGGGGAGGTGGAGGGTGGCATATCTTGCCTGGCTGACAGCCCCAGCAGTGCAGGCTGGTCAGACCACCCACCAGGGGGCAGGCCCATCTTCTACACTGGGTTTTTCATGTCACTTCCTAGATACTGGGCTCTGAAGCCATGACTTGTGCTGTACCCTATTCTCAGAGGTGAATGTCACCAGTTTCTGCCAGTTTCCTGACCCTCTCCGCTCCCCCACCTCGCCCCCCAATGGAAATCATGGCCACTTTCTGCTCCACATCAAGACGAATCCTTTCTAGAGACCCAGAGGCTACCCCAGGTGCCCTCAGTCACCAGGACAGAACACTCCCAAGTCCACACTTTCTGTGAGGACAAGGGGCAGGGCTTTTCCCCAGAACACCACCTCGGAAGAAGCCCCCCTCAGGACAGACCTCATGAAAGGCTTCCCTGGCAGCAGGCCTGAGGGGACTGGATTTGGGAGAAGAGCAGGGTTGCTTTGGTTGTTCTCTGAAGCTTTCTGGCTGTGCTCATTTCTTTGAAATGTTTTCAATGGAGCAGTTTCTGGAAGGAGCTCTTCTCCAGACCTGGTGCTCTTTAATGCAACTTCAGCGGGACTCCTCAGAGGAGCCAGTCTAGCTCACCCATGGTCATTACCAAAAAGGCTTCCTTTGCAAGGGAAAGGAGCAGGGGTTGCCAAGCCAGGAAGTATCCTGGGAGCTCTGCTTTGCTTCAGATCCCCAGTGGTCACACAGGGCACAGGGTAGCAAGTCAGGGCCCACACTTCTGAGTCAAGCATAGTTGGACTTGGCCTGAACTCAGCTCTGTCCCTGACAAAGCATCTGTCTGACCCTGATGTGTGGGGACCTCACGCCTCCTGCAGGCGGGCTGGGAGGAATTGTGGGATATGTATTGACAGCATTTCCCTCAGACCTGGCATGCTGAGAAGCTTGCATCGACTTCCTAGCTGTATGGCCTGGGCACGGTCTCTCAGCTTTCTGGCAGCTTCTTGCCTAAAAAAGTAGGAAGGAGTGACAGTGGCTACAGCTCAGGTTCTGTGAAGATGAAGCCCAGCTGCGCGTGGATAGCTATCGGCTCAGGAGCTGATAGCCTGGCCACTGTGCTCAGTCAGGACCGGTCATGCCAGGTCCTGTCACATGCTTCTGACCAAACCCATTCCCTGCTTTCAGGAACAACTTGTTTCTGCGTTAAAGAGACAGAGGTGCCCCAGCTAAACAGCATGGCTGGACCCTTTCATTGTCATGTTGCTAACACAGATTGACATTTCACTTCCTGCCCATGGCTCTGAGATGATACGGCCCAGGAGTCAATAATTAGAGTAAGAGAAAACTGAACCCAATCCACTGGGTCCTCCTGGGGCCTCCTGGGCACTGCTGTGAGCCATACAGCACCCGTGGTATTACAGTGCTGAGCTACCAGGGTGTTCGAATCCTGGGGACTGCAGGAGAGTGAGAGCCAGTCTAATTGGTACAGCCAGCTCCCCAGCCTGCCAAGAAGAGAGACTGGTCCCTAAGGAGGCTTGGAAGCAGGGTGGGGCTTGGTGGTTGTCAGGGCTTGGGAAGTCTGTGGGCAGGGGAAGGCTGGCATGTGCCAGTCTCTAACTCCTTCCTCTTCTTCCTGTGGTCAGATGAGGGGCCCTTGCTCCCTGCCCTACCTCCTCCTCCTGCCGCTGGGTGCCTGCTTTCCTCTGCTGGATGGAAGGAGGCCCACAGACGCCATGGGAGGCATTGGAGCCGGGATGAGTTGGACCCACATGGCCGAGGGGCACAGACCCCTCTTTGGGTGGAGCCTCTCCCAGTGGCCGAGAGCACCGAAGCCACAGGTGGCCAAGGAGCTACAGGCCTCACGCAGAGAGCACACTGGCTCCCGCCTCGGGAGGCAGGACGGCACGGAGGCCACCAGCTTCCTGCCCACAGATGGCAAGAAGACCAGCGGGTCCTTAGGGAACCTTGCTGAGGAGCTCAGCGGCTACAGCAGGAAGAAAGGTGGCTTCAGTTTCCGCTTCGGCCGGCGGTGAAGGGCCAGGGCCTCCTGGAGGGGCTTCTTCATGGACTGGGTCCCCACTGTCTTCACCCCTCCTTCTCCTCCCGCCTCAAGGATCCAGACATGGAGAATACAGAGGCATTGTTGTGGCAAATTATCAGCAGTAGGGTTGGCGAAGTGTGTGCTTATTTCTGATTTCCAACTTTGCTGAAGCAAAAAAAAACCAAGAAAACAAAAAACCCTTGATGTGTCAAGATGTACAAGAAGCAAGCTGTGTGGTGGCTAAGATGACAGTGTCGCAGAGCTCCAGTCACCAGTGGGACCCTCCCTCTTCCCCTGTGGCCCGATGGAGCAGACCCCAGGCCCCAGGGGCTGTGCTTGGGCTGTGAATAGGAACAGCAGAGCCGCTGTGCAGCTCGGAGTTGCAAGCAGGTGGACTGAGCAATTACAGTGGGTAATCAAAAGTTTTGAGTCTCCATAGGGATGTCGGAGCTGACATCCAAAGTGCAGCTGTGAGTGAGTACATACCACTCAGTACAGACAATGGTTCTGAAAGTTAAAAATGAAAACCAAAACAACAACAAAAAACCCCAAACAACCCAAAAAATAACAATCTTGCTCTCCATCCCATTAATACAAGATCCCTCTGGCAAGAAAAGCCTGCCATGTTGTGGGGTGAACTTGCCCTTCGGACCGGCTGCCCAGCCCCTCTGATGGCTGCCCTTCCTTCTCGGTGTTTGCCAAGCAGGGGCCTCCTGGGAGAGGAACTAGGAAGGAATACATTTTTGCTACAGCAAGGTTGCATTTCAAATGCTCAAAGTATGAATGTGCTGCGTGTATCTTTTGAAATAAAAGTTGTAACAACTGCAAAACCATAATGGAATGCTGGCCTCTTCCCTCCAGGTGCTCTGGGCCCTAGAAACTTCCTTTTCCAGAGCTCCTAGTGCCTTCACTTCGGGGAGATGGAAATTGCGTGGCACCCCCACTCCTCTCCTCACATCCCCTTAATTGGCAGCTGGGCAGAGGCACAGGGAGACACAGTGCAGGCGATTTTCCTCCTCCACCTGGCCTGCTCAGGACAACGGCATCACCTGGGCTGGGGGGCGTGGGCGGAAGCTCTCAGCCTGGGGTGGCTGCAGGCCTGGGGCCAGGCAGAGAACATCCCCTGCCTCCCATCCCAGGTCAGACACACCAGTCAGAAGCTGCTCACTCCCAGGCTGCCTGTGACTGCTGAGAGCAGAGCTTATATTGATGTTACTATGGCAACATCTCCCCTCCTCCTTTCGAGTAGCGGCTTGCCCCTGTTCACAATTGAATAATTTTCCATTGAGCTGTCACAATTAATTGGTGGATTTTTATTAGCCTTTTAGAACCACACTGGGCTGGGCCCAGCTTGGCACCTCTGAGCATTTCAGTGTTTTCCATTCTATTAGTGACTTCTGTTCCCAGTAGCAGCTCTCAATCTTCAGCAGCCAGAAAGTCACTTCATTAAGGGTGACAGATCTAAGGCACAGAAGAACCACGCTGGCTGGGGAGCAGGGCTGGGTGGTGAGGTGGGCAAGGAGCTTGAGTCAGTCAGAACATCACCTAACGTTACAGCACTCTCCCCAGCCAGCAGCAACACACACGGCTCCCTTAGGCCTCCGTACTTGGGTCCTGGTTCCTGTGGCTGCTGAGACAAGGACCAGAGCCTGGGAGGCACATTATTCTTTGGCCTCCACTGCTGTTTGAGGAAGAGGCAATTCAGGATGCCTCCTGCAAAGGAGTGTTGTGGCAGCCTGCTAACACAAAGCCGACAGGGATGGATTTGGCCCCTGGGTCGCCATCTGTAAGCATGGCCCCAGGACACAGGCAAATATGAGTCCAGCCAGGTCCTTGGCCCCCTGGAGGGCTCATTCTGGTTTTGGTGTGGGGGGAGGCACAAACCAGGATCTGCCTCTCCTGTGACATTCACACAGATAACAGCCAGAAAGCTGGGAATGTAGAGTGTTTGCCTAGGATGCATGAGGCCCTGGGTTTGACCCCTAGCATTGCAAAAAAAAACCCAACCAAACAAAAAAACCCCACAAAACAGCCAGGAAATGTGCTCAGCAAAGAACAGGTGAGACAGACCAAAGGCCCAGGCAGAAGGATGCCCTGGAGCCAAACCCCCCAATCCCCAGCCACCTGCCCTTGCTAACTTCTATGCTCATTGAGAAAAGACCCACCTATGGTCACTAGTTCCAAGAACCTGGAGGACGCCCAGGCTGTGCAGGGTACTGCACAGCTTTAAACACTCTGTGGGTATGTACTGGCTGGTTTTTATTTTTATTTTATTAACTTATTTATTTTGTAGTGCTAGGGACAGAACCCAATCCTTGCACATGCTAGGCAAGTGCTCTATCCCTGAGCTACTCCCCCAGCCTGGCTGGTTTTTAATTTAGCAGGCTTAGATTAACCTTGGTGGAAAAGCCTGGGATGAAGGAAAGGGGCAGGGGGAGGCCTTCAAAGGAATGGATATGCTATCATTACCCTTTCGTCATTTAAAAAAGAAAAAAACCAACAAAGCTATTCTTTCCAGTTTGCTTGTACATTGGAGCTCAATAACCCTGAAAATCAGAACACTCAAACTGCCAAGGGCATTGATCTGTTAAATCAACTCCTCCTGCATTTGGCTAAACTTCCTCTTTAACCCCCTGCCCCTCTCTCTGCCCCATGGTTCTGGCAAGGTGTCAGTCCCTGGCTCTTGCCTCCCTGGGGAATACTGCTCCTCTCCAGGACGGTGAAGGTGAGACTCTAGAAAGCACTTACAGTGAAGATAGAGACTCAGACCCCCAGCCACCTGCTGTCCACGCCCCTCTGCCCGGCAACTCTTGCCCTTACAGCCCACAGTCAGGGCTCCATCTGCAGCTGTTTTATTTATCCAAGACTTAAAGAGGCTTACTCTTGCTGGTACACCTAAAGGTACTTAGCTACTAAAATGAAAAATACTTCAGTCTACATTCTCATGTATGTTTGAAATATTCATCAAAATGTTTAAGAAAGATGAAGAAGAAGAAGAAGAAAAGATGGGTTCTGGGGCAGCTGCTATAGCGAATAGGATAGTCACCTCTTCCTACCTCACTCTGGACCAAAGACTGATTCCAATAAGGACACCAGTCCTGACCAGATGCTTGTCACCCACTGTGTTGCCAGTGCTGTTGTGGCCACATCTCCTGAGGCCCCTCAGAACACCCTCACAGATGGCACCCCAGAGGTGTCCTTGATTGTAGCAGTGTCAATGACTGGAGCAGGGGTCCTGGCCAAGGCGATAGGGTACACACCAGGGAGGAGGGCAGAACTGGTGGGGACTGTGTGGTAAATTGGTCTGGTCGCAATTTGTGTCTTCTGTACCAAGGCAAGATTTCGAAGCTGACTCTCCGAATTGACTTCCTCAATTTCAAAGGCCTCTGTGACACCTCTGCCCCTGCAAGGCCAACCAGCTGCAGTTCTCTGGCATTACAGAGGGAGGAGCCAGCTCCAAGTGCAGCCTCTGCTGAACAGTGTGACCTTCTGCACTGTCTACAAACCAGTGTGCCCCACAGGTATGAGACAGCCCATGCTGTGTGACCATGGCCAAGCTGCTTCACCGAGCTTTTGCTTCCGTACCTCCCAAAGGAGGGCAGCAATGAAACCTCACTCTCTGGAGGAGGTTGTGAGGGCCCTGTGCAGTGCTCAAGGTGCTTGCTCCCATGGCACAGCACTGGGGCGTGCATTCTGAACACGCACCAATGCTAAGTTTCACACGTGACATGCCCACTGCCAGTGCCACCCAGACTGGGAGACAGAGCCCCGCCCTTCAGGCTGAGCTCCCCAGGCACTGCTGACCTTCACTAGCCTCCTAAGACAGCGGCCACACTGTGCCGCTGCACACAGCTCCCCATGAGACACACGGTGATGTGTGGCAATTCTCTGTGCTCGAACATTCCTACAAGAACATAGTGCCAGGCTGGAGGTGTGGCTCAAGCAGTAGAGCGCTTGCTTTTCAAGTGCAAGCCCTCAATTCAAACCCCAGTCCCACCAAAAAAAGAAAAAAAAAACCCAACGGTGTCATCTTGTCCTTTCCTTTGCTGATGGACATCTGGACTTTTTCCAGTTTTTGATTTTTTTAAAAAGTTTCCTCACACTTGAGGTTACTGCTTTTGTGTGTGTGGGATTGGGGGGGGGGTAGGAGTGACAGTAGCCACAAAAGCTGCTGGTCCCTTTGGTGTGCCCCAGGACAAGGGCAGGACACACAATCACCTGGGGCCTGCTGTGTACGTGACATACGTATATTTTTCTGGAGCTGGGACCCACAGTTTCTATTAGATTCTCAAAAGGTCCTTTACGGTCCACTATCTTAGAGGCCAGCCCAAACTAAGTTTTAAGTTCAGTGACAATTGGCTGTCTTACTTGGGGCAGGAAGTGTCTTATGCACATGGGCACATCTGCGTAACTGGTCTCACCAGTGTGACTGCAAGTAACATCCAATTCGCAGCTAAGAAATGGGACTGCTACCTTGCCTGGAAGGCTGCTGTGAGACCCTGGGGAAAGGGCATGCGCCACAAGGGAGCACCAAGTCAGAGCCTCTGTGTTCTCTGCTCGGAGAAGATGAGTTTGTGTGGGCAGGAGGACAAGTAAGAGAGGCTCACCA